GAAAAACAACACCACTGGCAGCGCCCCTCCTCCAAAATGGAAAGCAATGCCTGCTAGTGCGGGTGCCCAGTCGGAAGAGCGAGAAGAGTCACCGACAAGGCCCCTCTGCGTGTGGGACACATGTAATGGGCGGGTCCGTGAATGTGAAGGTAAGAGCTCACGTCCACGGATCCCTGGCTGTGGGTGAGGCTCTGCTGGTGCTCACGTATGTTTTCTCATTGAATCGTCTCAGCAGATCTATCTCCTCCTTTCACAAATGAAGAAACAGACTCAGAGAGGTTGAGTAATTTCCCCAGAGCCACACAGCCAGTCCTGGCAGAGAGCGGATTTGAAGCCGCATGATGTAACTCATTGCGGAGCCTGCACTCTTCTCCCAGCAACCCATCCTTGGCCGCACCGAGGGAGGTCTGTGCTCGCAGACTGAACACTGCCTGTGCAGAGAGGAGCAGTGGTCTTAGGCTAGCACTTCGAGTTTGAATTGAGAGTTAACTAAAACCAGCTACAGAGCACGCCTGTAGACGTTCTGGCCTGTTTCTAAAACCCAGGTTGATGAGCTGCCTCTCTCCTGGGTTCATGTATGTTCAGTGGCTCTCTCTGCTTATGGGAACACGAAAATCCACCCGGCTTGGCACGTGAGGCCCGAGACCCAGCCAGGCTCCGTGCCCTCTTCTATCCCACCACATCCTCCAACCAGGATGCCCACGTGGTTTGCCAGCCAAGGACTCGCCTGCTTCCTCGCCTGAAATGTGACTCTCGGATCTGGAAATCCTGCTCATCCGTCACAGCCCGCTCAGCTGAGCGACAGAGCGCGTACAGAATGACAAGGCGTGGGACTGTTTTTAAGAACTAATTCTAAAGTTCCGTAATACTCAGCCAGGCCTGGGAGGAAAGGTTATTTGGACAAGCTCTCAGCCTGCTGTGCACGTGGGATTGGGCAGCCTCAACAGTGGATTCAAATCCCTTTCCCACCGGGAGGAAACTCTCAGTATCACCTGGATGAGTGGTCTTTTCCTCCAACAGCCCTTTGTCTACCAGACGGCAAAGCTTTCTCTACGTGTAACAAGCCCCACGTGGCGCATCATCTCTTTGCATTTAATTACAAGGATTTGCATTTGCAGAACCAATTAATCAGTAATTAGATAGCACTGTACCAAAGAAATAAACAAGGATAAAAAAACAAAAACACACTCAGCACAGGGCCGTCACCGTGCTCCCGGCAGCTTGATACACACTCCCCGAGCCACGCAGGCTCGCTGAGGGGTGAGCAGCGGGCCGTGGAGGTGTCCTCGTGACCTCCCGGGCCCACGGGAAACGTAAAGGTGGTCAAACACAAAACTCTCTGGTGATGCTAATGTT